AATGGTTTGACAAGTTCCCTTTTGCCTGGATAATTGCATCAGTCTGTTCTCCTTTTTCTTCTACAAGGGCTGGTATTCCACAGGAATGAATGTTAGTGGTCCCAGGACGAGAACTCCTCTCATTGCAGCTGGGGAGCGCCCAGGGCCTTGCTTGCTGACCCCAGGGGTGTTCTAGGGTATTACTTGTAATAAAGGAGTTGTCACATTTGATTTGGATACTTGTAGGCAAAACTGTGCCAAGTTTGTGTTGGTTTTGGAGAGGTGATTGAGCAAGGTTGAGGAGCTCAAGGAGACTAGCGGAGCTGAGAGGATCTGAGACTTGAGGACAAGCTAAGTGAACCCATGTGTCACTATAACTTCCCAACAGTTCATCTCCTTCTGTTCTCTCTCTGAATCCAGCACAGCCCCCTTAAAGAAATTTACCCAGAGCCAGATCTAATAATGCCCATCTATGCTACAGGCCAAAGGTGGTGGTTATGGAAATATTGGGAATTAAAACTATGGTGTTTGTGACCACCAACAATCAGCATTGACAGAGGGCAGCAGTTAGCTGTCCTATATGAACTTTTGTGAATCAAATCTGGAAGCAATTGGGAGTCATTTTGTTCCTGATAATCTCTTGCTCTGGACTCAGTTTTGTAATGCACAGGGCACTTTGCCCCCCAACTCATCTTTTTAGGAAGAGTGGGGATGGAGGTTGGTTCGGGCATCTGAGCCAGTCATGGGTACTGAAGCCAGGGAAATGAAGGCACAATCTCTGGGAACAGTATCCCACAGACGCTGTTTGCAGTGTGAGTTCCAGCTGACACAGAACATTTGGGAAAGGCAGAAAGACTTCCTGTAACATGGAGGTCAGGGCCCTGGGGGTCAGCAAGCAAGGCTTGTGTTTGGAGTAGGGTCTTCAGGGTGTCTGTGGTGGTCCGGTTTGTTACTTTCTGTTGATTTCGGGGATGAGGCCATGAATGACGGTCCTTGGGAAGGAGTAGGAGCTGTATGCCTGCAGCCTGTATAGACTTCCTCCCCGGAGTCTGTCCTGGCATTCAGAGGAGAAGGCAGAGGGAAGGAAAATTAATTCTCTGGGCTGCCATAACAAGTACCACAAACTATGTGGTTTAAGCAAATTTCTCAAAGTTTTGGAGCCTGGAAGTCTAAGATGAAGGTGTTGGCAGCATCAGTTTCTTCTAAGCTCTGTCTCCTTGATTGTAGTTGGCCGCTGTCTCCTGATGCCTCACGTGGTTTTCCTTCTATGCATGTCTGTGTCCAGATTTCCTCTTATAAGGATAATGATCATTTTGGATTAGGGTCCATTCTAATGACCCCATTTTTATTTAGTCACTTTTTTTTTTTTTTTTAAAGACTACTGCTAAATACAGTCACTTTGAAGAAATGTGCTGGGGGTTAGGACTTCAACATACACATTTTGGAGGGAGAGGGTACAACATCCTACAAGTTTAATTTTATAAATGCTGATGCAGTCATATTGTTTTGTTGGCATTCTATTCTTTAAGAATGGAACCAGGTCAATGGAGAGGGAGTGAGGCAGGTTTGGGGTGGGGAGAGAAAATGCATATAATGTACACACTTTAGAAAAGCTTGAATGAACGTAACACAACCTGGAGGATTGGAATGATTGTCACAGACAAAATTTTAGCACTCAAGTTGTGCCCCTCATCCACTTCCAGATAGTATATTCTTTATGCCTTGAGTAGGGCATTCAGTAATTACTTGGGACAAGTGCTCCCTTCTGGGTTTTCCTGATTAGGTTCATTAGAGATCTTTGTATTGACATCCTACTTTCAACCTGCTGGGCACTGGCTTCTGCAAGCATGGAAATGGCTCCTGTTTTAGAGGCAATGGATTCTTTACCTACACACTGCAGGGAATGACTCTAACAATCTTTATTTTGTATTTATGTAAAAAAGCTCTTGATCTCCAAGTTAGTCTTAAAAAACATACAGGAGGAACTCAAGAGTTAGTTCTCTATAACTTTCCAAAATAGCTTTTGTTGTTTAAGGACATGTTCTCAATGAAACTGAACACACAGCAGTGAATGAACTTCTGCCCAGCTATGTGCTAACAGTCTGGAGTGACAGCAGAGCCTCCCAGCTGAGAAGCTGATGCTGAACAAAGTGGCCTGATCCTAGGTGCTCTGGCTCTTATGTGCACTTCCCTTGCCAGTGTGCAATCGTGGTGTTTTTTTTTTGTCAGCTTCCTGCAGGCATTTTTCGATGACTCACATTGGGCCCCTTTTGTGAATCCAGGTGTGTGAGGTATTCCCTGCTTCATGCCATCTGCTCTTTTATGCTTTGCAGAGGAAAGCAGGCACGGAGAGCAGCTTCTTGCCTTCTCTTTCAACTTCTCACTCTTCTTGCTGGGGAGCGAGCCTCTTTGGACCTTTGTTTCCACATACAAGACTGGTTACCTCACATATAGGCCCCGGAAATGAAAAGCTTATGAATGGCAAGCAAGTAAAGGGACGATGTGCCTTTCTAGTTATTTCTGTCAGGATATGTTATCTGTAGGGACAGAAACCAGTGCTTTACAATACTACACTTTCTTGCCATTAGCTGCTTTGATAGAAGCTCTTACCACTGGGTCAAGGGTGACACTTGATAAGATTTAGACTCTGGCCTATGAAGAGGTACAGTGTGTACTGGGCACATAGTGGGGGTATTCTACTCTTGTTCAGCTCTAAATATGAATATTAAGATAGGGGTATAGATTTACTGGACTCTCAGGGAAGAAAAACTAACATACTTTCATTTTCAGAATCAATTGTAGCAATGAGAAACTAGGATTTGCATAATCAATTGGATCCTTGTGTTCAAGTAGCTCTTCTGCTTCTTCTATACTGTTCTCAAGAAAAAGTTGATGTTGGGGTCTCTCTGGTAGCGCAAGGGGTTAAGCACAGCACTATGAAGCTATCTGCAGTCTCTGCAGCACGAGTTCGATCCCCAGCCAGCCAGGAAGCAGCCCACATGGTGCAGCAGACCTCTCCTGTCTCGCCCACTCCCCTCAGCAGTGTATTTTGAAACATCTGCCTGTTCTGCTCCCCATTCCATCTCTGGTGAATCTTCTCACCCCCCATACCTCTGGCCTGTACCCTAACTCTTGTATGCATAAATAAATAAATCTTTAAAAAAAAAAAGAAAAAGTTGATATTTTAAAAAATGAAGACTTTTTACATTTTAAAAACTCAACCATTATTTGTGGAATTAATTAATTTAAAAATTAATTATAAAACAATCAGTAAGCAAAATGTGCCATAACTTGCAGTGAATATTTTTCAGCTCTTAAAAGGAACAGAACTCTTATTCAAGCCTTCAATCTTGATGAACCTTGACAATATTATGCTAAGTGAAATAGAGAAACAAAAGGACAAATGTTGTGTGATTTCACTATTATGAGTCACTTCAAATAGGCAAACTCAGAGACAAAGTAAAATAATGTTTCCCAGGGCCTGAGGGGTGGGGATGTGAGGGCGAGTAATGAGGACTTAATAGATATAGAGATTTTGTTTGGGATGATGAATTAGTTCTGGAAATGATTAGTGGTGATGGTGCATAGCATGGCACTTAATCCCCTGAATTCTACACTTAAATGGTAAATTTTATATTAGGTATGTTTCACCGTAATAAAGAATCTAAACAATTGATTGCGGTGCCAGAAGGATATACACAAATTATACAAATGTAAAAATACAAAAATCAAATTTTATACTTCTTTGACCTACATTACCTGAGCCATGTACCTGTCTGAAGACAGTTTTTCTATAGCTCTGCCTCTCACCAGCAACAGAGAGAAACTGCCCTCGAGACTGTTGGCAAAGACCACAGCTTCAAACAATTACAGACCAATTCCCACTCAACTTTCCATTGGGAGAAACAATAAAAATCCAAGTCTTTTTGGATTTTATGACATTATAGGATTTATTAGAGTTTTCCAGAGAACCCCGATGAATAGAATATATACATATGAAAACACACACATGTATACACACACACACACATACACATATACATGAGAGAGAAGATTTACTTTAATAATTTGACTCCCATAATTTGACTCCACATAATTGTGGAGGCTCCAACTTCAAAATCTGCAGGTCAGACCAGCAGCTGGAGACCTACAGAAGAGCTGACATCAGACTTGTGTCTCAAGGCTGTTGAGAGGCAGAGTTCCTTCTTCCTAGGGAGACCTCAGTCTTTTAACACCATGTCTGACTGGAGAGTCCTTGTCACATTATGGAGAGTAATTGCTTTACTCAAAGCTACTAATATAAATTTTAATCACATCTAAATACCTTCACAGCAATATCTAGACTGGTATTTGACCAAACAACTGGACACTGTAAACTAGTTTGATATATAAAACTAGTTAAGTTGATATATGACATTAACCATCACAAGTAGGCATATGCAAATATGATAGAATTTCTTTCAAATTGGGCATAGTTAATTGCCTCTTACTTTATTTAAATGCATGTAGAAAAAGATCCCAGTTCTCTCCCACCTCTTCATCTAGGTTCAGATCTCATGGTTTCATTATTTCATCAACTGGGAGGGCTGTCTTCCAGAGCAGAGTTGGTTAAAAGGCATAGAGTCTCCATTGTGTGTGGATGTGTGTGCTCTGACCTGCCGGCCTACCCTGAGATATGTCAGTGTTACATGAAGTTCTGCCAGTTCCTTGGTAAACAGCCATTTTGTGGAGGGATGTGATGAGGTGTATGATTTCACCAATTATTACTATTCCCAATTAGACAGGGCCCAGGTGTGTGTTAATAAAATGTTAGCTCACTCTCTGTAAACTTAACAGCACTATCTGACTTGAGTCCAGGGATTTCATGCATTTGATATTGTTCATTTGATTTTATCATTGCTGTTGTATTCTCAGGTCTTCCAACCTCCAGAGATCTGGTTTTTGTAGAAACCATCCACTTGTTCAGGGAGGTAAATTACTGTCAGCAATGGCTCTTACCTTATCTCTTTTTCTTTTGGCAGACTGGTTACTGTGGGTGCAGATCATTGTTCCAGAGGAGAGCCTGACGACCCCAACCTCTGTCTCTTAAGGTAGGAATCCAAGTGATTGTGCACAACTGTTGGTTTTTCACTTGGGAGCTCTGGGTTTGTCCTCAGGGATCTGTGTGGATTCCTGAACGTCTGAGACCGTCTTGGCCCAGCCCCTCAGCAGAGTGCCAGGTATGCTAGCCCATCAGTACCCTTTGTTGCTCAGTGTGGTTCTGTTGTTTTGGGGTAAGTTACCTTTCTGGGGAATTCAGGGGGTTCCATGCTCAGGGAATGGTTAGTGGGTTAAAGACTTCTCTTTTTTTAACCCAATACATTAACTTGGTCAATTAAAGGAGAACATTCTGGAGACCCTGTTCCTGTGTCAAAAGTGGGAATCTGTGGTGGGTGGGGAACGAGATGAAAAGTGTCTGTGTCAAGGGTATGCACTGATGGGCGAACATTTGTCATTAAAGGGTATGTAAATGTTAAGGATTAGAAACTATTTCCTGATGCAAAACAGAATGAGAGTGTTGCCCCAACAAAGAAGAGGTGACAACATTCATGCAGGTACTTTGAAAGTGATGTGCTTTCTAATGCCTGCTTTTTTATTTTGTTAATTTCATCCTTTTGGTTTCAGGCATGGTGCTTAATACACAGGGTGACCAGGTTATATTGTAAGGCTTGTGTGTATTTCCCCAGTGAAAAAAACAAAGTGAGGTCTGGTTTTCTGAGGTCAGCGTGCCAAAGTCAGGAATGTCTTTGAGGCATCAGGGACCTGAGCCTGGTTTGCTCTTCTCTCTGGTGTGTGCTGTCAGCTCCCAGCCCAGAGGCCCTCTCTGCCTTATACACAGACCTCCCACCTTCCATCTGATGGTGAGGAGACAGTCTCCAAAGGAAGTGGTGTGAGATTGTGAGCTGATGGGGCCGGCGCCATGTTTACCTTTCCGTTTCTTGTCTAAAGAGCAGATTGAATTATTAGCACCCGTGTTTTGTTAATGATGATTATATGTTTCAAGTACAAAGCAGAATTCCATAGAATCTACTGAGATGCTTTACTCCTTGCCTTTTTGAAAGGATGACATTGTACTACCCTAATTAGGCTCTAGAAAACAAGTAGGAATCTGTATATTATCATCGCTGTTTCCCCAGGGCGTATTGGATGGTGTGGGAGCTGTTCCTTCAACTTAAGAGTCTGCTGTTAATAAACCCAAAGAGTGTGGCGATCAGAGAAGTGGGGCTCCATGTGCAGGGAGATGTGTGGCGAGCACTGGTCGATGGACACCTAGTGCCTTTTTAGCTACTGTGCTACACATGGTGTTAGGGACATCATCAGAACCATAACAACAATGGCAGTGAAACCAATACCTCTAACATTAACCATCTCCCTCACCACCATCACCACAGCTCACACTTAGTGGGTCCTAGGCACTGCCAACCACAGCACTAAGCATTTTATTGGCGCTCTCTTTCTGAATCTGCACAGCATTGTGCAGGAGCTATTAGGAAGGACCTATTAATATCTACCTTTTGTAACTGAGGAAACTGAGGGGCAAAGAAATTAGGTAAGTTACCCACAGTTAGAAAGTCAAGCTAAAAAGTGGCAGGTATTAAATATGGGCTGGCGCGCCACTCATTTTCCACACTTGCCCCTGCTCACTCCCTCTTGCTCTGTGACTGCCACCTATGACTGATAATGTGCCTCTTCTGCACTGAGGTAGTTGAAAAATTTAAACATGTAAGTAGTTCAAGATGGTTAAAGACTATCTTGCCTGTGGACAACTATAAAAAGAATGAAGAATGACAATCATCCTTTTTAAAAGATGCCAAGTATAATCCTAATAAACACATTATTGTGTTTTGCTATAAGTTTCCCCTTGGGTATGTGTGTGTTTGCATGTGTGTGTGTGTATGTATTTTATATATGTGAAGTACACATATATAATTTTATAATATAAATTGCATATATAAAATGTATGTATATGTAATTAACCATCACAAATAGGGATATACATATATAATGGAATTTCCTTGAAATTAGGCATCGTTATTTGTCTCTTATTTGCTTGTTTTTTATAATTTATAAATTTATATCCTTTCCATCAGTTTATTTGAGTCCATGTAGAAAAAGATTCCAATTCTCTCCCATCTCTTCATCTAGGTTCAGATCTCATGGTGTCATTATTTCAAAGCAGGGTGGGTTAATGGCTGGGAATCTTCATTGCACATGACTGTGTGGACATGCTCTGACCACAGAATAGGTAACACGAACTGTGCACTCAACAAATACAAGACATAGGCTCCCAAAGTCTTCTATAACATATTACCTCTTGATTTTGCTACAAATCATCAATTCTTCCTGCATGTTACAGATAAGAGAAACATGAATATGGTATTTTATTTTATTTTTTTAAATTTTATTTTTATATTCCCATACAATTGCAACCCCCTTATTTTGACCCCAATCCCTCCTTTTCCCGCCTGCCCCCCCCCCCATAGTGTGTCTCTGGTTCATAGTTGTTTGTTGATTTTGATTTTTTTCTTTCTTATAGTTATTCTTTTTCCTGGTCCCTTATTTAGGTTTTCTAGATTCCTGCTATGAGTGAGACCCTCCGGTACTTTTCTTTTTCTTTCTGTCTTATTTTGCTGAGCATGATTCCTTCCAGCTCCACCCATGTTGCTGCAAATGGCATGTGTTTATCTTTTTTGATTTCTGAGTAATATTCCATGGTGTATATGTACCACATCTTCTTGATCCAGTCATCTATTTTTGGGCATTTGGGTTGTTTCCAAAGCTTAGCTATTGTAAATAGTGCTGCTATAAACATAGGGGTGCAGGTGCTCCTTGGAATTAATGTTTCTGTGTCCTTTGGGTAAATACCTAGGAGTGGAATTGCTGGATCATATGGAAGCTCTATCTTTAGTAGGTTGAGGAATCTCCACACAGCTTTCCATAGTGGTTGGACCAGTTTGCACTCCCACCAGCAGTGCAGGAGATGAACGTGGTATTTTATCCCCATGTAATATGATATAAGATAGGTTTTGCTTAGTTTTGTCACAGAAAAATCAAAGCCTAGAAGAGAGTTTTTCTGCTAACCAAGAGAATGACTTAGGGTTTGGGGCTTCCTATTTTCTTGGAACCACATATCTGGAACCACATATCATGAGGATTGCATGGCTAGTTCTGATAGATTCTCCCTGGCTCTCACCTGGTGATACTGACCTTGAACTGGTTTGCTTATGCCTTGAAGGTATTGACCCATGTTCATCATGTAATATCCACCAAGGCCCGTGGTGTAAAGCTGTTTCCAAGGATGTCAAATCTTGTTATTTTTGATCCTGTGTTCTCTTACAGACTAAAAGAAGCAAAACCCTGTTTTCCCAGCACCACCTTCTGCAAAGACAATTTGGCATCTATCTCTTGGTCCAGAAAGTTTGTCTCATCTCCCCAGATTTGATCATTAGCTAGTTTTAGCATTTCCCAAGTTAAGGTGCTGATTGCTATGGCATCACTGGCCTAAATGGGGAAGATGAGAGTTTGGAGGAAGCACCATGTGGTGGTTGGTAAATCTGCTGGCAATATGGACAAGTAGCCTGGTTTTATGTGTGTGTTTGTATTTGAAGCACTATTAATAATGAGACCTCATTTGTATAAGGTTCCTCATCCTGTATCTATTGCATAATAATCAAATACCCCACACTTACTGACTTAAAACCACAGCTACCTTTTTGGTCATCATTCTGTGTGTCAGCATTTTGGGCTCTGCTGCGTTGTTCTGCTAGTCTTGCCTGGGGCCACTCATGCCACTCAACTGGTGTCCAGAAAGGTTGATCTAGAGGACATGTGCCGGAATGACTCTTCTCTGTCACTTCTTGTTCGTCAGTAGGCTAACTCAGACTCTTTAGCATGACAGAACATTCTGGCAAGAAGACAAGAGTCCAAGCTGCATATTCTATTGGTCAAAGAAAGACTTAGCACCAGCCCAGATTTTACGGGAGGGGCTTGAAAATAGACTCAACCTCTTAATGGGAATAGCTGCAAATAATTTATGACCATTTAAAACTTATCAAAATTTCTCTGATATGAAAACATGCTGAAATTGCTTAATTTTAAAAGTATTTTATTTTGACTTTAAACAATCCTAAAGTTAGGAAGGTGTTGTAAGCTAATTTGAGAGAAGAGAAATCTGAAAAACCGAGGCCATCTGTAACATCCCAGAGAATATAAGAAGATAGATAATATTATTAGCCAACATTAATATTGTTCTTGCTTTTTTGCCACACACCATTTTTGCATTTAGTCATTCCAAAATCTTCTGAGTAGGTACTATTTTAATCCCCATTTATAGGTGCAAAAATAAGATAAAGACCTGAACTCTATGCAGTTCTATGCAAGTGGTTTAATCTAAGAAAAGTGACAAGTATCACTGATATTTATAAGGTCACCTTGCAGCCATGGAAGAAGTGGCTCATGGCACTGTGATAACACTGGGCCCAAGGCCCCGTCATCAGTAACAGGGGTATGGGGCACATTAAAAAATGGGAATCAGGGCCTCCCTGGTGGCACAAGGGGTTGAGTCTCAGCACTATGAAGCTATCGGCAGTCACTGCAGCAGGAGTTCGATCCCCAGCCAGGGAGCTACCTACATGGCGCGGCAGACCTCTCCTGTCTTGCCCGCTGCTCCCCTCAGCAGTGTATTTCAGTCCATCTGCCTGTTATATTCCCCACTCTGTCTCTGGTGAATCCTCTCACCTCCCACACCTCTGGCCTGTACCCCAGTTCTTGGATCCATAAATAAATCTTTAAAAAAAAAAAAAGAAAAATGGGAATCTATTTAAGCATCAAAATGGTCATTTCTCACGTTGCATTTAGCAAAGTGCCCTTCCCCTCTCATTATCTGTCCCCTTTTCATGGCAGGAGCTTCTCTGAAGGTCATCTTTCCTGATGTCAAGCTGGAAATTCTAGGGATGCTTTCCCTATACCGGTAGAGACTATTACCTTTATAATTTTTTCTTTCAGCTAATCTTGAAGAGTTTATAATGTTGCCTATATTAAGTACTTGTTC